CAGTCTAGTATATAATTTTGCTAAAGGGAGTTTATTATTCTCAGTAGAGCTTTATTTTGAAGACTCAGAAATAATAAGGGATACTTCTTCCATTTATGATCATTACCAGATCCTGCGCAAACTATAATTTGGACCCTTTTAACCTCTTTAGATACTCTGCTTTTTGAACAATGCAAATTCGTTTCCCATGGTTCATAATCTTCTTGACATGGAAATAACGTTTTATTCATCATCTCTGGCTGTACTGCTCTGCTTCGCCCAGAGAGGAGGGGAGAGAGATGTTTTCCAGCAGCATCCTCCAGTATTCAAAGCAGCAACCAGGTGGGTTGCTGCTTTAGGAGCGATCTGCAATGTGTTGGTAGAAATGACACGAAGCTACGGCGTATCCTAGTGGGGTAATTTACTGTGTGCAATTAGAATTGCAAAGAGAATTAAGATACTGAGTTCTGTTGATTTCCTAGGAGAGTTAAGGTGAAATGTATTGTCGGTCTGAACCTCACCATCTGGTCCGGTTTCGATTTAGGCCTCCTTTATCAGAGAATCTGGAGTCGGGGTGCATGGGGTAGTGGTAGGTCTCTGGGTCACACCTGACCTAGTCCGCAGGCCTAGCCTTCTGTCTGAATTACTCAGCCCAGCACCCCCAGGCCCACACTCCCACTGACATCCTCTGGGGCCTGGGCTTTTCCTGCACAGCCCCACAGGACACGTGCTCTGAGCCTGTAGGAACCGCGATGCAGCGTTCCTGCCCTGAGCTGCAGCGGCTAGATGGTCCCATCATCACCGGTGCTGTGGTGCTTCAATGCTGCGGACCCCCTTGCACTGCTAAACTTGTCTTGCACTTGGGGCTCAAGCCTGCAGCCATCTGGCTGCTCTTAGAGAGCTCAGCCCCCCGGAAGGCTCACTTCCCCGGGAACTCCTACTGAATCCAGCTCCCTGTTCAAGAGTTTCCATAATAGCCGTTCCACTGGGTCAGTGAGAGGGTTAACAGGTAAAGCGTCAGAATAGAGAACTCAAGGAGATACATCCACAATGAATTAGCACTTTTTGGCAGACCAGTGTGCTGCTCCCCATGGTTCCCTCCCGTTATTCTCTCTGGCCATGGCTTCCTTCACTGTGACCTTAGGAGTAGCTATAACATACTGTCTGCAGAGGTGACTTGTTTTAATCACACATTACATCAGCGGCGCGAATGTGCTAGATAAGCAGAGGGTGACAATTTGCCAGAAGGTCTTGTGAAGATAATAGCTAAAATGGGTAGCTTTATTCATGTGCAGTGTTGCCATTCTGTTTTTGAAAACTTATTTCACAGTTTTTAAACTAATGGGGATGGTAAAAATAAAACAAAGAACTCAAACTAAATAAAAATCATCATTAGGGTGAAAAGATTTGGTGGAGGGGGCTTGCCACTATGTATGTTATCTTTAGATTTGAGGAGATAGGTGACTGTCTCTCATAGTTAATATTTAATTTTATAATGGGCCCCTTCTTCAATTATTCATTCGTTCCCCACATGTGCCAGGCCAAGCTCTTGACATATCTTTACACACATTATTCCTAATCCTCACAACAGTTTTGAAGGGTAAGTATTAGTCATTTGTTGGTTCGAGCAACAACTATTTTTGTGTTAAGTGGTTGTTATGAGCCTGTCTGTGAGCTGGGTAATGGGAATAGAACCGTGAAGAAGCAATTTGATTTCCCTGCCCTTAGGGTATTTTCCAGTGTTGGATGCGAAAGACAGACAAAGAAACAGGTCATTATAATGCCTTGTTATGTTCTTATCCTCTCTTCAGGAGTGTATTAATTCGTGTACAATTTTTGAAGAGCAATGATAATAACTTTTGACGTAGTCATCCCATCTAAGAACCTTCTCTATGGGAATACTGCTGCGATCTTAGTTCACACTTCATGTTTCTCACTGGGACCATTGAGAATACCCCCTGGTCAGTCTCCTGGTCCCTTGTCCGTACCCCTGTGTTCTCTTACCCCAGTCTGTCCTTCACTTTGCTGAATGATCTTCTAAAAATGCAGCTTTCACCCTGCTAGCTTGCTTCTTCAATGTTTTCAATGATCCTTTGCAGATTCTGGGATCTAATTCAGCTTCCTAAAGCAGGCGTACAGAAGCCCCGCCCACCTCTCCCACCACCCTCCCACAACAACTCTTACTTATGTTATCCAGAATTATTTTCGTTTTGTTACAAATATTCTTAGCAAACAAGGGATGGAAGTAGGTAAAGAAAGGAAATCCGTGATGTGGGGTTAGTAGTTGGTTGGTGGCCTATTCTGACGAGTTACCTCCCCTCTCTCCACTACCTTCCTGGGAGTTAATGTCCATAATTTCATATAATTTTGAGGTAAACTTAGAAATTAATACATTTCAGGAAAAATAGTTTCTTGCTATCTTTGGGGGTATATGTATATATTTGTAAATATTCCTGAATGGGTGTTTCTAATGGCAGGTCAGTCTCCACACAGGGGATTTGAAGATCTGGCCTTAATTTGTATACTTGTCTATCCCAACTCCGGATACACTCCACCTTCATAGAATACACACTGTTCTAAAAACACAACGTTGACTAAACAGTCTTTATTTGCTTTGGCCAAACATGGAGCTAATGGATAGACTCCATGTACAATAAGATAGACCCCAAACAGAGATAATTCTCAGAGATTCATTCTAAGGCATGCTACGTATTATCCTTCCATTCTTTTCATCCACTGAATTTATATCTTTGTTATTCTTCTATTACTGAATAGTAATAAATAATCCTTTTAAGTAGATAACAGGAGTTGGTTTCAGCTTGTTGATTTTCAGAAATATTTGTAGTTTATACTCATTTAAAGCACGAGGAAAGGGATATAATACTATCTTCTGGCTCCCTCTGGTGGACAATTTATGAAAAACTCAAACTATAGTCATTGCGGGGTTTGTGGGATGGGGGACAGGTAGTGAATAGTTCTGGTTATTGGTAGCAAAAGGAACAGAAAATGCATTCTTATCTTGTAGATGCATGATAATTATTATAGAAAATCTCCCTAAGGAATAAAATACATTTCTATTAAAAGCCATAGCGAAATACATAGCAATGCTATTGCTATTTTTTCTTGTTACAGTGACTCTGCTGGGATCACGGTGTAAAATAGGATTAGAAGTATATTTCACCCCTTTGCCCCGCCCTTAAAACTATATAGGGCCACATCAGCATAAGGCTTATGCTAAAACCCAACAATATTGTTAATTCATGAGTCTAAATATTACTCCACAGATTATTCAAGAACCTCCCAAAAGCTAGACTTTTCACTCAATAATGCATAATTTTGGAATTTTAGCAAGTGATAATTTTTATCTTGAATCAGTTTATTTTGATACATTTATTATTCATTTGTGATCTTCTGAATTTACAGATGCCTTGACGATGCTTTATATTTGTTATGGCCATTAATCTTCATCAAGTTTTATCCGGGTGGTTGTGTGTTGCTTTCATTTCCAATGTTCAACAAGATTAAACCAGGAAGAAATAGCATACAGGCTTTCAATTAAATTTTATTTATATGCAATAATAATTTTATTTTGTGTACTAGTAAGAGTTCGCATTTATTGAATTCAGTGTTTGATGGGCATCTTCTCCTTTAGTTTTTGCAGTAACTCCATGAGGCAGGTAGTGAGTTCTTATTACCCACATTTTCTAGAGGCTGATAAAGTGAGCTTAGCTGGAAACTGGACTCATCCAGGGCTTCTTACTCCAGAGCTATGAGTTCTAACCACACAGTGTACAACCCCCTGAAGTAGGTAAGAGATAAGTACATGTGTGGCTAATACCCTAATGAGACATCTGTCCAATACTGGGGACCTTACTTTTATTGCTATCTTTGAATTGAGGCATTAGAAGATTACTTTAACTCAGAGAGAGTTTTGTCTTCTTTTCCCCTCCTCATTCTGAATAGGCCTTATAGTAGAACCTCTTGAAGTTTTTAAATTTGAGAGGAAAACTTATATCTATTATTATAGAAATGGGCTTTATGAAAAAAATACATTTAGCTCCTTGATTTCCTCAGTAAGTCTTTGAAAGAGATGATCTGAGGTATAAAGGTGGGAAGGGAGGGTACATTTACGCGTAGGTACCGAAGATCTTCATGAGATGTCTTTGGAACAGATACAGATAATCCACGGTAACTTAGGAAATTTTCTCTTTCTGCAAACACAATTAGAATAAGTACATTTTCTTTCAGTTTACAATTCTAAATTATAGCTGCCATTTAAATGTTTTCTATGAATTACCTTCTTAATCCTTACAATAATCTAATAATTATTAACAATCGAATGATTATAGGCAGTCTCCAGATGAAAAAACTGAAGCCCAGAGAAGTTAAGTAAGTAGTTTGCCCAGGGTTGTATGGCTAATAAACAGTAAAACCAGGAACCGAACTCATGTGGTCCAGTTTAAGAGCCCACACTCTACACCACTTTGGTGTACAGCAGTGGTGTCCAATGGAACTTTCTGTCATAATGGAAATGTTTGATGTCTGTTTAGGGTGACGCAGTACCCGCTAGCCCCCTGTGGTGACTGAGTAGTTGAAATGAGGCCAGTTCAACGAAGGAACTTCATTTTTTTGCTGTTTAAATTTTAAATATCTTAAATTTAAATAGCCTCATGTGGCTAATGGCTACTGCTTTAAAGGACAGTGCAGCTTTACAGGACTTTTCAGATTCTGTAATGGTAGAGATGCAAGACCTTTTGTCTAACTCCCTGTTTTACTGGAAACTGCCAACCAGATGGGTCAGTAATCTCAGAGTCATAAAGTTGAAGAAAGGGACAAAATTATAACCCAGGTGTTTACACTTTCCAGTCACAGTTCTTCCCATCCTGCACCTCTTTGGCATCTGCAAATTGATGTTTCTGTTGCCGTTGTTAATATTAGATTATAAAACTACTATTTTGGGGAAAAAAATCCTTATCTTTTATGAAGTACGTTGTCCAATTAACACTTCCCTCTTTTCTCAGGTTATAGAAACATTATCACGGCTTTCTCGCACACCTATAGCGTTGGCCACAGGAATCAGGTAAGCTTGTTTCTCTGTGGTTCATGTTAATGTAATGATTACTTATTACATTGTTTGCAAAGCACTTTGCATACAAGGACTGTGTCTCATTCATGCCAACTGCCTGGTATATAAATGCCTAGTATTTGAAACTTACTGAACAAGTAAAAGTTTAATTCATAGAGTTGAATAAGACACGTTGGCTAAACATTGTTCTCAGTTTACTGGTGACTGTCACGTATGATTCCTTTTTTTTTTTTTAACTCCCTCCAACATTTCTATACATGTGATTCATGAAGACAAACACAAATGCTTAAGTAAATAAATATTTAAAAAGATGTTGTGGTAGATTTATTTCCTTTAGACTATAACAATAAATGACAACTTTTAGGAGTTCAAGAAATAACCTGAAAAATATAAAATGATACGTGTACAAGGGTGTGTATTGAGGGCTTAGTGCTAAATGAAAAACTTGGAATTGGTAAATAAATTATGCTACTCCAGGCAATGGAATATTATGCAGTCAGTAAGCATGGAAATGTAGATGTATGTGTCATGTTGGACTTTCGCTGTTTAAAATACCACACATGTAGGTTAGATCAGATAGAAAGTTGTGTTATTAGTAACATTAGAAATATAGAATACCAGTTTCAGTAGCAGCATAGCCAGCCTGCATGGAAATGGAGTGGGTTTCGTTTTTCACCTCATTTCCAGAGGGCTCCGTAGTTCAGCTACTGCCAATGTGGGGCTCTGCCCTGTGTCTCTTCTTTTGTTGCTCCCATTTTGCTGTGTACAGCTCACATTTAGATTCTAAGGGAGAGGATCCAAGCACATCTTACAGGACTGATCAGCAGTGCTGGGCAGCCCAGTCCCTGGGTACAAAGCACAGTGACCTCAGGGAGGACACCCTGTAGACCCTTTCTCAGAAATGGGCCATGACTTTGGCACAGAAGTAGTCTGTAGGCTGGAAAAATGTTCAACACATTGTAATTTGATCTTCAAAACATGATTATCTTTTCATATCAGTATTTATTTTATGTTGTTATATTTAAGCAGCAGATTTTGAAATAGCATGATTCTGTATTTGAGTATTTATATATTTTTTATTCTAAGAGGGTAAACATCAGAAGAATTTTTTCCTTTTTAGTTATTCTTATCTATATTTTCAAAGTGTTCTACAGTGGACTTGTATTGTTATAAGAGCATAATAAAATATGCCTCAATGTCTTTTAAAAAAATTTTTGAACTTTGGCATTTTTCACACATTTCAATTTATTTGAAAGATGTAAGTTTCTCAAATGTGTTAATTATTAAATAAATCCATAAATAAATCCATAAAGGTGAAAATCTGCTTTTCAATATATTAAATAAAATTACTTAGTACTTATTTGTTATTTTGATGGGTCCTCTTGTTTTTATGAAACATATGACATGCTGACTGTATGTAAAGAAATAGTAAAACTTTTGGCACTATAGTATAATTTCTGTGATTTTGTTAGACATAAATTTAGAGCATTATGCTGGTATTATAAAACATTTTCATAGTAGTATGAAGCAAACAAGGAAGCCAGTGGCTAGGAATAGGGGATAAATTAAAGTGATTTTCTTTGAACAGGGGGCAGAGAAAACACCGTACTCTCCCTGAGGTCTGGTTGACTCATTTGTCTAATAAATGAAGATAAAAAAAATATAACTTTAAAACATCTCAAAGTCTGAGTAGAAAAGTGTATCAGAGTCTATAATCATATATAAAGGGCATGGTGTTTTTGTCTTCGAATAATTTTCATCGATACTTGTGGAACTGAGCCATGCAAGGATGATTGTTACCCAATTATTTGTCAGATCAGGATTCGTAAGTGTAAAGAGCTGGTGCTGAAGGGAGGGGCAGGTGTGGCTGCTTGTCACTGAACAGGAGAGCGGCAGTGGGGGCCATGAGGTGAGCCTGCAGGGATGTGGCTGATGGGAGGTCAGCTAAGCACATCAGCATGTCCACACCTGCTCACACACTGCGGTGACCAGTAGAATTGCTGCTAACGATTTGGGGTAGCAGGTGCCACAACCTTCCTGTGAGACCCCAGACATAGCCATACATTGGGAGAAGCCCCAGACAGCATATTAGACTGATGGTGTCTGATCTGACCGTGTTGGCAGCAGACGAGCTTACACATTTAATGATAGGTAAATGCCTAGCCTACATGTTGCTTATTTACCCCCCTTTTTTCCCCCCTCCCTCCTAGGCCCTTTCCGACAGAAGAAAGCGTTGATGATGAAGACATCTACAAAGGCCTTCCTGACTTAATAGAGTATGTTGAGCATTTCCAGCAAAAGTTTTGCATCCTTTGTGGATTTTAACTGTGGATGTTAAAATAGCTCTCTGAAGGGGAAAAGTGGCTTAATGATTAAGGCGGGTAGGAATTCACCTCAAACTTGTGATGGACAACTTCACAAGAAAATGTACTTCATCTGGCTTTTGGTTCCTGTTGTGTGTCCCACATTGTGCAAGTTCCTATGGCGAGTCAAAACACATACTGCCTCCATGAAGTAAAATTTGCAAGTTCCTCAAAAGCAGGGCAGAGATAGTTGGTAAAACTGGCATGAGACAATTATGGAACAGTTAGAAAGAGAAACGGACTGTACTACCGGAGTTATAGGACAGAGAGTGTATGCTTTGTAAGTTCAAGGAAGGGTGAGATTAGTGTGGGCTGGAGTTGTTCAGGGACGTTTCATTAGATGGTGTGGATTGTGAACAGAGAATCCTTTTGGGCTCTTGTATTTATCAGGAGAGGCCAAAGGTCCTTGCAGCTGATTATCTTCTGCTGACTGAGTGACTCGTGCAGATTACAAATAAATATAAATGATTCTCCTCAAGAAACTGATGACAGAGATCGGATATGTTTGCAAAGAATTGTAATAAGAAATAGGTTATTCTCCGAGAGATTCAAATCCTGTTGAAATCCATCCGTTTATCCCTTGTAGCATATCAACACACTGACTGAGCTTTCTTCCTTTAGGACCTTGACGCTTGCTCTTGCGCCCACATGGCTGACCCCTCACCTTTCAAATCTTTGCTCCGATGTCCCTCTACAGAAGGCCTTCCTGACTATTCTATCTGAAATGACCACCACTCCTTACCTTATTCTGTGTTTCCATGGCACTTACCATTGCCTGAGACAATCTGTTTCATTTAATGTCCATTTCCTCATGAGAAGGTCAACTTCGTGAGGTCAGGGACTTGACTTTGCTCTTGGCTATCTTCCTAGAACGTCAGTGTCTGCTATATAGTAGGTCCTCAGTCAGTATTTGTTTTCTGAATGAATAAGCCAAAGCTGCAGTAAGCACCTACTGTTTGCCAGGCATTGTGCTTCAGGTTGGAGCTATCTAGTCAGCTCAGAAGAGCTTAGTGAGTGCCCGTTTCTTGCCAACTATGTTCCTTGCATGATCTCATGGAATACCCCATGATGAGGCTGTTACTGTTATCACAGTTTACAAAGGAGAAAACCAAATCTTGAAAAGGAGCTTGCTGAAGGTCATACCGCTAGTAAAGAGTAGTCTTTGGACTTGAACCCAGACAGTTCTTATTCCAGAGTACATTGACTCCCAGAAGCACCCTGACCTGCCCCTTTAAGGACCTTCAGTGGAAAAGCAGAGGATGGGAGACACAGGGATGGGTGGCAGCCCTTCCCAGAGTAGGTGGCATTGGGATGGGCCTTGAACTCTTATATTTTAAATGTGTATTAAGAATAGCTTCTAGGGCCGGCTGAGTGGAGCGTTGGTTAAGAGCTGGCTTGGGACGCCAGAGGACCCCGGTTCAGATCCCACATATGAGGGCCAGTGACACTGCCCTCTACAGCTAAGATGCTGAGCAACAGCTCAACCTGGAGCTGGGCTGCCGTGAGTCGCCGGCGACAGCGTAGGCTGCAGCCCCTGCTGCAGTGGGTTGCCATGGGCTACCGTGTGTAGCCAGCAGCCAGCATGAGCGGCCAGCAGCCGCCATGAGCGGCCGTCCAGAAGCCGGCGACTGATCTGCCTCTCCCAGGAAGAGCGCAATGATGGTGCCAACTTGGGCTAGTAAAGCAAAGTCCTCCACAACTAGACTGAAGAACAAAAGGACAGCAACTTATCTGTTCCCCTTCCCCCAATTCCCCAATAAAAATCTTTAAAAAAAAAAGAAGAAAAAAAAGAATAGCTTCTTACCTCTTCTTAAAATCTCCAAGCACTCACTAATCTTAAGCAAGATAGTTGCCAATTGTCTCATTGAATTGGCTACAGTCTTCCTAAAGTGACTGTGAAATTCCTGGTAATATAGTCAAATTCTTCGAAGTACTAGGAAGAATGCGTTAATTAGTTCTAGTGCTATTTAGGAATTCCTTCTTAAACCCCACCAATTGTCACTTATTCCTACTAAGTTTTATAGTTTTTCCTCTCTTGTTCTGTTGATGTCAGGAGAAAGCTAAGATGCATTTCTAACTAGATGTGGAGAGAACATGGGCTCCTGAGAACAGCCGCTGCTTTCGGATCCCAGCTCATGCTCTGTGAGGTGCCAACCGCTTCAACTCCCCATCTGGTCGAAGGTCCAATGTGGTGGTGTTAGTTCTGCAAATGCTTGCTGCTGAGTTCACTATGGCAGCTTGATTTTTAATCTCAGCTTTGTTATGATCTCTGTGGACTCGAATAGTTAACTCTAACTTTTGGGGCTGAATCAGTCACCCAAAGGGAAGCCCCTGGACAAACATAGGTCTGCTCCCCGCTGCAGAGGAAACTGCTCCCTCCTCATGTGGAGAGAACCAGAGGCAGGTGAAAAGGAGAGCGTGTGAGATGGCTGCACTGTGCAGCCTCCTCGCTTTTTCCTACTTTGATGATCAGGGTCAGACATGCTCATGTACAGTTGGCCCAGACACAGGTAAAGGAATGTGCGTTGTTGATTCATTGACCCTTTGAAGAAGCGCATCTCCCCCCCTCCCTCCTTTGCTTCGTTTTCTGCAAATCAGAAATTATTGACCAAACTGTTAGCAAGGAAAACAGCTTTAGTATGGGGTTGAATAATAAAACCCAGATGCTCTAGTCGAATCTGTGTGTGTATGTTTGTGTTTGTGTGTATGTATGTGTGTATATGTGTGTATGCAGGCAGGTAACTACGCATGCGTGTGTGTCACGCCTACGATTCTTAGAGAAAAATCGGTGTGAATCTATACATAACATTTCTCTACCTCGTGGGAAATAGTTAAAAGGCTTCAGCAAGATGAGGGCTTTTTTAGGGGGGAGGGTGTTAGAGGCGGGATTAGGGATGCCAGAGAAATGGCTTTCACAGCTTGTCCTTCTCCTTCGCAGGATCTCCTTTGATGTAGAATCTGTTCCTACATCATTCTTTAGCTCAGTTAGCTTCCTCATGAGCTCGTCATACCTCCCTATATTTTGGGGAGTTATAGAAATTGCTCCGGCCAATGTAAATGTTCCCCTGTTCTCTGGCTGGATTGCCTGCCTACGCCCCTCAGTGTGGAAATGCTGGAACTGCCAGTCAGATTCACTGTCTCCCCGGTTGTCCAAAGCAGAAAGCCGAGAGGCACCTTCCACTCTTCCTTGCGCTCCCTAATTCCTTTTTTTTCTTTTTTTTTTAGCTGAGCCATCCTGCCACCTGTTGGCAGCTCAGCTCGGGTCGCGAATCGAACCGGCAACCCTGTTGCTCAGAGCTCCTCGCGTTCCCTAATTCTGATAGGCCACCAAGTGTGGATGACTCAGTGACACAGTGTCCTCAGTTTCTGTTTCCCTCCTCACCAGTTATGGCTCTCAGTATTCTTCCCCACAGTATTTCATTTCTTGGCTCACTGATCTCCCTGCCCCCTCCCGCCCCCCCCCCCCGGCCTGCCCCCCCTTCACTTCAAGGCTACCTCCATGTAAAACCCCCTGTTGATTCCTAGATGACCAGTAAGGTTGAGCTTATGGAGTGCAAGGTGCAAGGCCCTTCTCAGTTTGGTTTCAACTCTTCCCTCTGGGGCTTGCCTCACTCACCTGGTCACATTGAATGGGACACCACTCCTTATATGGCCACACTTGACACCTCTCTGCCTTTGTACATGTTGGGGTCCATTGTCTGGAATGCTCCCCGCCCCCTTTCTCATTCAGTGTGTCACCCCTGAGAGCAGAAACTGTGTCTGCCTGTCTGGTCTGCAGCTGTCTCTCCTGGAATGTAGTGTTTATTCAGCAAATACCTATTGAATAGATTGATAAATACATTCAAGATCCAGTTCAGAAGTAATATCTTCTGTGAAGCCTTCCCTGCCTTCCTTAGTCTGGGTTTTTCTTACCTTTTCCGGTGCTCCTACGTGCTGCACTTGTCTCTTGTTGCACTAACAGAATTATGTATTAGTGGGCCTTCTGCACACTAGACTGAAGGACAGTCAGTCCTTGAATCTCCTTGCTCTCTGCATCCTTAGCACTGAAGAGCCTGGCACTCAGTAGGTTCTTAGTAAGAGTCTGGTGGGCAGGTGGGTGGGTGGACAGGTAACTCTGGAACGCGTTTTTCTCAGAGCAGAGTTCTCTGCAGCTTCTGTTACCACCCGATTGCTCTCCCTTAAATTACCTTCCCTCCTCCTGGGTGATTGACAGCTCATTTCGATCAAATGCCTCCAAATACTCCTTCATGACAAACAGACAACTTTCTGATTACACCTACTTTGAAAAAGGCCCCAAGTTGCAGAGTGACATTTAGTGTTGTTATTTTTTAGTGTTTTTATTTTTGCGCATATCAATTTATAATGTTCTGTCTGCATGGGCGCCAGAGAAACGCCAAAGGCTGGCAGTATGAAGGAGTTGCATTTCTTTTTCAGAGAGATGTTAATGCTTCTTTCTGATGTATCTAAACTTATTCATCTCAATTGTTTGGCATTATTAGTTAATGGAAGGTATTTATGGAAGTCTTCAACTGAAGGGGAAAAATGAAGGAGGACTAACAGAACATGTCATGGGTGGAGCCAGCTGTTCCTACTTTGAATGGGTTTATAATCTCAGATGAAGGATTTAGGAAAGATCTATCCGTCAGTCACTGCATGAGTGCTAATGGAAGCTTTAAAAACAGAAGTTATTTTCAACTGCCGGGAGACCAGAAGATTTTCAATGGCTTTTAAAAATGCCTTGTGGCCCTGGGACCATTTCTTTAAACTACTATACAAACAAAAGTAGATAAAAGCAGACTCTGGCCGAAGGGGGACCTGTGGGTGCCCTGTGAGTGGCCTTGAAGGAACATGGTTTGAAAACTACTGCATAAGATATTGGCCTTAATGACCCTGCAGAAACTGATGCTTTTAAAAGGCTGTTTCTAACATATCAAATCCTCCCAAACTCCCGTCTTCTCCATATGATATGATACCTTTGATACAGATGATGAGACTGAGGCCTTGAAATATGAAGAGTGGGAGGGAGCATGAGAGAACAGTTAAAGCACTCAGAGTGTAAGACAGACTCGGTTTTAAATCCTGGCCCTGCCATTGACTACCTGTGTTATTTTGGGCAAGTCAGGTAACCTTTCTGTGCTCCCGAAGTCTTTATGGATCAAATAATAATGGCTCCCTGATAACACAACCAATGCTGGGCTATTACCAGTGAGATAATACAATAGATGTGGAGGGATTACTTAGTGCTTGTGTGTAGTAAATACCCTGTGAATGTTAGTGTCGCGCCATCATTGTTGGGTTCTGTTGTTCTTTGTCATATCAGGAGGGGACAGAGCTGTAACGTAAGCCTCGTCTCTTTCCATTGATTCCATTTTATTTCCTCTCTGGGTTTTCCACTGAAGTACAGTAAGCTGTTTCTCACTATTTCATTTACTCCTGACAGATGATGAACTTAACATGGTGCCCTTTGTTGCAGTGAGACCCACGTGGAAGATGAAGAAGATCTGTATGACTGTGTTTATGGGGAAGACGAAGGTGGAGAAGTCTACGAGGACTTAATGAAAGCGGAGGAGGCACATCAACCCGTAGGATTTTCACTTGTTTTTTAAGTTACTCTGAGTATCATATTAGGAATGGGATTACTTGAAAGATTCATTTATGTAACTTCTGCTGGAATGGTTTTTTTGCTTTCTTTTTTGACATTTGCTTGTTACATAATTCTTACTGTATAACCATGACTTGTTATTGCACGTGGATACACAGAAACATGGCATTTTACAGTTTAAAACAACCATGGGAATCTCTGGTCTAATCCTTCCATTTTACTAGCAAGGAAACCAAGTTTGAGAGATAAATGACATGTCACCCAGCTATATAATGGCAGGAGAGCAATAGAATTTAATCTCAGGGAATCATGACATTGTATTGTTATAAAAGGAAATCTCTTACAAAGCAGGGAAATCTTTAAATTTGATATAGCATAAAATATATGTTAAAGAATATTTCTATGTATTTGTTAGGGGTTGATATGAGGTATTTTTTTCTTTTGTTTCATCAGTTTCCTAGCATTTTTACTATTTTATAAATATAGTTTCAGATCTTGTCGTAGTCAATATTGAGCCCACAAAGCTTTGTCTGCCCTTAAAATATCTGAAACATTCAGAAAGAATAATGTACTTTGAATCTATAATTGAAACAAAAGAAGCCAGAAGCTTAGGCTTTATTAGTATAGTCCTTTTTTTTTATACTAAAGACTTCCTTCATCATTTGGGTGGTGGCTTAGGTTTCTTTGGTGCTTTGATGAATTTGCTTAGCTCTCTTTGAACTCTTGCATTTGGTAAAAGGCTGGAGGGTTGTCCAGTGTCCCTGGAAAGGGGGAGTGGTTTCGGTGGGATGGAAGCAAGTTACTTGGCCTGTGTTTGGTAAATGTAATGAATGTGGCTTTAACCCACTGATAGGACACCTGTGATGGCCTTTTAAGAGTGTTTTTAGGTTGCAGAGTGTCATCTCTACTACCGGTAATTATCAGCTTCTTTGGGTACCAGCAAATTCTTTGATGTCTCTCTCAAGGGCAGTCTTCACTCAGCTGACAGTACTAGGTTAACAGTAATGATAATTTAAATGCATCGGGCCCATCTTGTGTACTCCTCAAGGTGTTAAGCACTTTTCACGGGTTATCTCATTTCTAGCTCCTTGGGGTTGCTACTGTAATTCTTTCTATAGATGAAAAAACAGAGACGTAGAGAAATTATGTAACTTGTTCACAATAACAAGCGAATAATAGCAAAAGTGGTACTTGACCCCAATTCTAACTGATTTCCAGACCTTTGATTTTCATGTTCTACTACCCCCAGTCTTAAACAGTAAAATGGCTAAACACCAGGACGTTGACTCTTAAAAAAATATTTTTTAGATTTTTACTTACCAAAAAGCATTTTATTATCTTTGCAGTTATTTCTGTAGCACTTGTAAAGTACACTGTACATTAAGAAAACTATATTACACCATTTGTGATGCTTCCAGATTCAGTAACACTTATAATGAAAGAGATGTTTTAATTTAAAGAGAGTCTTACAAGTTTATTTTTTATTATCTAAAACTTTTTTATTTACATTGTTCAAAGTTAAAGAAAGCAAAGATACTTCACAAATGCAGTTAAGTGTTTTATTAGAATAGAAAGCTTAAGAGAATCAGCAATAATTTTAATCTCTACTACCAAGTGATTAATACATAAATTTGATTAAATAATTTTAACTGGATAATTCTAATTTCAGAAATGTCCAGAAAATGATATACGAAGTTGCTGCCTAGCAGAAATTAAACAAACGGAAGAAAAATATACAGAAACATTGGAGTCAATAGAAAAAGTAAGTCATCAGGTATCAATCATTCTTGATGCCCAAATACTGCCTTATATATTTAATATATTAGGCTCCATGTTTCTACTGTGTGTATGTGTGTCATTTAATTTTCAGTAGAACTTTGGATTTAAAGATTTCATCGTTCTACAACTATTTATTGAGTTCTCAGTTCTGAATAATACTATTCTAGGGATTGAGAATATAGCAATGAACACAATAAAACTGGTTCTCATGACACTTTACCTGTCATGGGAGGGTTTATAACTTAAGCAAATAAGTATGCCAGGTGGCAATAAATTCTCTGAAGAAAAATAATAAAGAGGAAGGAGATGGAGAGTGATGAGGGAGGGCTGGCATTATTTTATATCAAGTGGTAATGGAAGCTTTCTATGGTAAGATCATATATTAGCAGACAGCTGAGTGGATTGAGGGAGCAAGCCATGCGAACATCTCAGAGATGACAATTCCTGGGGGAAAGGCCCTCAGATGGGACTATGTTCAGTGGGCTTCAAGGAACAGCAATAGTCCAGGAGGTTAAAGAATGAGTGCAGGGAGCAGTGAGATCAGAGAGCTGGGGAACAGCAGGTTAGGCAGGGGCATCTAGGAGCAAGTAGCTCAAAGCTAGGGCATTTTGAATAGAAGAAGTGATGTGATTAACATAAGTGTTTAACGGCTCATTCTGAGTCTTGTCAGCCAAAGGGGGAAACTGGGAGAAAAGTTAGAAGGATACTGCAGTAATCAAGTTGATAGAAAATGGTGGTAATGGTAGGATTGGTAAAGAGTGGCCAGATTCTGAATACATTTTAGAAGTAGAACTAAGTGGATTTGATGATGAATTAGGTAAAGGGTGTGTGGGCAGGAGAGCTAGGTTTCTAGCATGAGCAGTTATGTGAATGGTGAAGATGGTGACTGAGATGAGGAAGGACAGGTTTGGAAATTGTGGGTCTGTTGGGACATACTGAATTTGCAATACCTGTTAGTTTCCAAGGAGATGTGTTGAGGAGGAAGTTAGAGACATGAGTCTGGCATTAAAGGGGAAGGTTGAATTGATGTATAATTGGGCTGTTATCATCACACGAGGGTGTTTAAGGCCATGGGATTATATGATGTCACCTAAGGGAATGAATGTTGATAAGAGAAGGTGTTTGAAGTCATTTCTGGCACTTCCACATTTAGAGGTTAGGAAAATGAGAACCAGGAGACCGTTTCGGAAGTTTAGAAAAAGAGATGAAATGGTGGAAGCGTTGATTAGGAGAATAAGAGAGTAAGTTGACCACGGAAATGTAGTAGGGTGATGCAGCATTACAGGCTCAGTTGAGTTTTGTGATTATATTTAAAATTAGACTATGAACATACAGTAGTTCATATTTACTTTTTTAGGTATAGGCACAAAACGTGTGGTAAACTAGATTTAAGCAGGGTTTTTGTTTTTCCAGAAAAGTTTAGTGGAAGAAAAGAAAGTGAGGTCATACGCAGGGAAGTGATTCTGAATGTGGTTTGTGGAATGTAAACTGGATAAGGAGGGAAGTGAGAACATGAGAGATGTGGGATGGCCAGTGGATTGGTAGACCCCATGGAGTTGAAGAATCCTTGAGGGAAAGAGCTACAAAGGCAGGAAGTAGTGGTCAGAGTTGATTGCTTGAAATTATTGCTATGGAGCATTTGCAGTTGTTGATAATGACAAGGTCTTGGAATGTGACCACAAAAGTAGGGAGCTGAGCTAGGATGCACCATGAGATTATTGGAGTTCAAGGTCCTGGGAGGCCGGGCTATTGGAAGGATCATCTGTACAGATACTGAGATTGCTGAGAAAGAAGATGGGAGTAGTAATGGAAAGAGATATGGTAGACCAGGAACTAAAATTCTCAAGGAAGGAGAGGAATAATGTGTAAGTTACATAAGCAGATTATTGATTTCAAGGATCTAGAATCTCCACAAAGCATCTGAGGGATATTTTATAACAGCCATCAAATATGGGTCCAAGATGTTGCCATTTTCTGCCAGTTCGGCCAATGGTGTTCTCTTTTTTCCTTACTTTCTGAAGCATTGATTGCCTAAGTTTTTTACTTTATGCTTTAAATGTATTAATTTGTATTTATGTCTTTCTATCTCTATTTAAATGTAAAATCATTAAGATAGAGAAAGTAGTTTTTGCATTTTTTTTTTGGTACTTGTAACACTGACAATTGACTTCCAATAAATATTTATTGTTTGTTGATAAAGATCTATGATATAAATTAGGATAAGTTGTGCTTAATTAGTACTTCTTTCTTCTCTTCTGGTAGTATTTCATGGCACCACTAAAAAGATTTCTGACAGCAGCAGAATTTGATTCAGTATTCATCAACATTCCTGTAAGTAAAAATACGCTAGTGAAAATTGGTGTACTTCTATAAAATTCTCACTTTCTTATTGGGTTCCAGATTCCTATTTTAAAATCCTCCTATATTCTTTAAGAATTTTGACCTCATTTTTTGCCTCCTGAGTTCTTATAGCTGTATTTTCTAGATGTAACTGATATATCCTATCTTGAACCAAAAGTCAAAGTGCATGTGGGACACACTTGGGTAAGGCTCGTCGTGTATTCTCTGTGACGGCTTGTCATGATGAGGTAGACTCGGTTTGATAGTTCCTGGTGCTCCTGTCTCGTTGTCTTGCAGGAGCCCCCTTCTGCCCTGCTCCCTGCCCCATCCCTCCTCCCGCTCCTCCATCCCGTCTTACAGACACCATCCTGACTCCATCCGTCTCATCTACTTCCTGCCAGTTCTCTGCTTTCTTGGTGCCACTCCTTTCTACTTCTGGTTGTGTCAACCTTGATTTCTATTTCTGAAAGACACTACTTCCTTATGAGTTGACATTTTAATGGTAATATGCGAGGAGCTTTGTTTTAGATTTATGTAAGCATTTTGAGTTTCAGAGCACCTTCCAATTGATGTTAGAATCCTAAAAGGATATTTACTCAGAAGCACTGAAGTGCCAAATGCTGTGCCAAGGGAGGCCATGCTAGACAAGATTCAAGTTCTTAGACCTCTAGAACTGGGTTTGGTTTTAATATATAGTTTTTATATAAATATGTAAGCTTTTATGTAAGCTTACATATTTATATAAATATGTAAGGCTTGCTTGTGTCACCTGAGTGGTCCCTTATGTTTTGGTCCTGTTACGTTCAGTGTTGACGTGCACCAGTCTGTTGGTTAGCTGTGGCATGTTGTCCTTGTCCTTGGTTTTGGACCAATGAAAACGTTCACACTGATTTGTAACATAACAGGAAGAAAAGGTCACAATATCAGATGAACATTTAGGATTAAACAAACTGCACATTCTCAGAAGATGAGGATCTTGAACCACCTAAATACCGTCACTAACTTAGGACCCATTTGACAGTTTTTATTGTAATGACCTTTCCATGCTCCTCAACAAAATGACAGGCCCAATGTATTCCTGTTTCCTTTCCACCCTACTAAGAAAAGGGCATGCTGTGCTCACAGTCAAAGTCAGTGTACGCTCCAAGGTACAAGGGGAGAGATAATGGGAGAACGGGCACCTTGATTCGAATTTCCTCATTTCCTGGCCGTGACATGTATTTACTGCCTGACTGAAAATTACTTGCTTATCAGGACAAATGTGAAATGCTGACTTTTGAGTTGCTCTAGTAAACTGCCTAGTGCAATTTATTTTCTCCTTATTTATGCCATGAGTTGTCTGGTTTCGAGCAATTTAGTCGGATTGTTGTTAGCTTAGTACCAGGACACCACTAATTGACCAAAGTACAAATCCACATTTTTATGTCCCAAGGACATGAATCATTACTTATCTTGTCAATAAAACATTAAGCACTTGGGTAGTTTTATTTAGAAATTTGAAGTGATTACAAAATGAAAATGAGCTGTACATATTTTTGTAGGAGGAATAAATTATCCTTTAATAACTAGTGAAATAATTTATTTTTTCACAGGACACTGACATTTCAAGTCAGATAGGAAATTGCTATTTCCCATGCACCATGGACTCTTTCCCCCTTCCCTTCCCTTCCCCCCACTTCCCCTACTTCCCCTTCTCTCTCTTTCCTCCCATTTTCTCCTCCTCCTCTTCCTCCTTCCTTTACTGATGGTAGCAGGTTTACATGTTGAGGGCATTCAACGTATCCTTGAATGGCAAGTCTAGTAACAAGAAGGATTCTGGGTTTGGGGTCATTTCTTTTTTTTATTTTTGCTTCTGATTCCTAATTTTCTTTGACACTGTTTTCTTTTCTAAGGAACTTGTAAAAGTTCATCGGAACCTAATGCAAGAGATTCATGATTCCATTGTAAATAAAAGTGACCAGAACTTGTATCAAATTTTCATTAACTACAAGGAAAGGTAACGTCTGAATTTTAAATTTTTTCACTGTTAGTTTATAATTATAGTGAGGGTTGGTGTTAAAATTGCTCATAAATAGGTATTACTACTGTTCATCAAGATACTACTTGGGCAGTCATTAGAACATGGTACAGTGGTAGTTTGAGCTCTGTATGTATCAGAAAAAAAAAAAGGAAGTATCCATACTTTTGCATCGCAAATCAGTACAGATTCTACTTCTTTTTTTTTAATTAGTTTCAGGTGTCCAAACAACATAATAGTTAGACATGTACATCTCTCAGAAAGTGATAACTCCCCCCAATCTACTACCCCTCTGACATTGTATATAGCTGTTACAATTCCATTGACTCTATTCCCTATGCTGTACTCCACATCCCGTCACTATATATATATATATATATATATATATATATATATATATATATATATATTTAAATATGTAGATTTAATTACAGTTGACATTCAGTAGTATTCTACTTCAGCTTCAGGTGCCTGACCAGCAGATTCTTCTCACAGGTGCTGTGACTCTTGAGTTCTACAGATTTCAGGAAGTCATTTTAACTCTCTGCACTTCCTTTTCTCCATCTGCAATGTTAGGAGTAGATTTGCTGGTACCTAGTGCTTTTTCCAACTCTAATATTTATAATTCTCTATTTTAGAGAATTTGATTCACAGCTAGAGTCAGTCTCCTTTTCTAAGTTTGAAAAAAAATCTGAACAACTCACATGAATTAAAGCACCAAGGAATTTTGCTTAAAATATAGTTCTCTCTTTTTAAATCAAGCACTATGGTTCTTAGTACTGACTAAGCAGTGGCTAATGAATTGCTTTGCATCAATAATTAGATCAACATTAACTTATTAGTAGTTTTTTTCTAATGAAGAGTTAAAAGAAACAATAAATTACCCAGCCTCTTTGCAAAACGTCTGTATTACTCCAGAGATACCATTCCTGAAGCAGGGTCAGACTACATGCAATATGACTTATCTTCTGGCCAGTGCAGGTCCCTCATTCCCACTTCTCTGATAATATATTTTCCTAGTTAAAAAGTAGGAAGGAGTAGGAGGTTTATTAATGCGTGGTTTTATAAGTAGCGATTATAATAAAATTGTAGCATAAAGTAAAATGGTTTCTGAGTATGAGTAAATGGTAGACAGTTGATCTCTAAAAGAATTTTTAACAAAATTTATTTTTCAATTACAGTTGATATACAATATATTAGTTTCAGGTGTACAGCGTAAGTGATTAGACATTTTATAATAGGAACTTAAACAGAAATTTAAAATTTTTTGTGCTATATATTTGTGCTCGACATTTATAGTCTTTATGCCAGTTTGTAATGGTGCTCTCCCTGCTATAAAAATGTGCCTGGGATTAATCCCATTCAAATTTAGAACTAAGAACCAGTCATTTTTAATACCATAAATATGAGTGATCTTCATTCTATAACTGTATGTGTGGTATGTGTTAAAAAGAAATGAGAAAGCAGAGGTTTAGAGAAATTGTAATTTGCCCAGGGTTACCTGGGTAGGGAGAGGTGGGACAAGTAAGATTGGCTTTGATTCTCCCTAACTGTGGTTTTAAATAGATGGAAATTCTACCTCTTTCCCCTTCCACCTTGTTGCTTTTTTGTCCTCCAGATTTCTTTTTCTGTCTTTTTCTCTTTCAGGTTGGTTATTTATGGGCAGTACTGCAGTGGAGTGGAGTCAGCCATCTCTAGTTTAGACTACATTTCCAAGACAAAAGAAGATGTCAAACTGAAGTTAGAGGTGCCTATTTATTTTTGTTTGTTTATGAAATAAAGTAAAATAAACCTAAAAGCAATGTGTTCCTTCTCATGATCAATGCAGCAAGGAATTTCCCCATGTATTCTAATTACAATTTCATGTCAATTATATAAACTATATTAATAGATAGCCCTGTAAAATAATATGGTAGTAATAATAACAGTAGTTAAATCCAAGACTATGGCTGTGTGTTTTACATGCACTATATCATTAGGTCCTCATTCGCTGTGAGACACATACAATTAATTTTCTTATGGCTGAGAAGGGTGAAGTTCAGAGAGATTATAAGTAATTTGTTTAGGGCACCTACGTGGTAAGAGGTACCAGATGAGTAAGATACATGTGAGATAATGTGTATGTAGATTTGAAATGTTGATTAAAAATATAAGGTGATTAGGTGTATAAAAAGGGCACGGCTATTGCCTGTAAGAAGGAAGACAAGACAGACACAAATATAATAAGATTAAGGAGTACGTGACAAGCACTGATTGACAGGGCTCCATAAGTAAGATCGCGCGATCACTTCAGTATAAGTAGAATGTGGAAGATTTTCTGAAGGGGCAGCATTTGTGTTAGATCACCGAAGTGGGCCGAGCCTTGGCAGATGACATTCCATGGAGAGCCTTCCAGAAGAATTGGTATCTCTTGACCAGAAGAGTCAAGAAAGTTTGAGAAGTGGCGAGTAAGCCAGTGTAAACTGAACACAGGGTGACAATGGAAAAGAAGTCTGGAAACTGTGTTGAATCTTTTTTATTTATTTATTTTTGTGCATTATTTTTTCCCCACAGGAAGAGTTTGTACTTGCAATGAACTTTTGAAAAATGAGTATTTATATGTTATGTGAATTATCATCTCAAATATATTATCCATGTGTTTGGATTTTCTTAAATGCCAAGTAGAGGTAGATAGCCAGCTCGTCGTAAATGGCCGTGTGTGGCTTCGCTGCCTCTCTAATACCCCCTGTGCATCTCTTGTTTCGCTTTAGCAGTGAGATCAGGGGATGAACAAGGAAAAAAAAAGAAAGAGGCAGATGATTTTCAAATCAGAACCCCTTCATTGTTTTGGCATATCTGGTACGATTTCATAACTTCTAACTCCCACAAAGGGGAGCTATTGGTTAGAAAGCTTGCACACCAACAGGCTACTGAGTAACTGTACTGCCTCTGTATCATGGAACTGTTTTCCTTACCTCTTCCGATCATTTGTGGTGCAGGCCTTATGTCTGAAGGCGGCTTGAGTCACCGCTGAATAACATCCTGACGACCTTGGTAGTGTAAAGGGTTCCTGATCCTCTGTAGAATAGAGCCTCCTAAGTGTAGAACTACAGGATGCCTTGACTAAAATTAAAATATCATGGTAAGATAAAACTTGATAACTTATACAGTTAGTTCCTGAGAGAGCTGCCATTAAAGCAGCTTTGTAAAAATAAAGATATAAAATTCTGGCCCAAGATATAAAATTTATTATTTGTAAAAATAAAGATATAAAATCCAAGACAGGAGTCAGCAAGTTGTCAGTCAACCCTCCCTTATATTCTCCGCGTTGTTTGAAATGTTCCTGTCCCTTCTTTCAGAGTCACTGTCAAAGTCCTGACTGTCCCGGGGCTCCGGGTGCATAGTTCCTGCAGTCACTATCGGTCTCAGGGAGCGAGAGGACCTCAGGCTGAGTTTGAAAGGCTCAGTGTGCGGAGCGGCTGGCTGGCCTTTCCTTACTGGAAAGCCCCAACCCCTGACCATGGGCCTGATTAATAAGCATTTAACCAGATACTTACTGTGACGCCTCAACGCATACTCTTGGCTGGAGCTGTCTTCTGCAGGTCCCAGCATGATGGAGAGAAAGTTGCCTTATTCTTGGTGTCTCCCTGCCTCCTCAATGTCTTCTTTTTTTGTGGTTATTTTTGCTCTTGTTGATTTTTGTCTTTTTCTTCTCAACTTTGGAACCAAGATACCATGGGGTAGATAGAGTCTCTTTATCGTGCTCTGGAAGCTGACTCATCCCTATCCCATTGTATTTTCTTCTCAATTAGAGTTGGCGTTTAGGCGAAGCACATGACTGTATGTTTTGAAAGGTTCATTTCTACCCTTTATTTCCTTTCAATACTAATAAGCATTTCATACCTCAGTCGCAGGCCCCTCATTGTTGGAAATGCCAGCAATGTTAGTTTCTTTACTTTCTGAGTCTATAACTTAAAACTTAAAGGAACTGATTTCTTCCCTAACAGTTTTAAACAGACTTCCATAACATAATAAAATGAATTTTAAATGTGTAACATTTCTGTTTCCAACACTGCGTAAAGTATAGGCTACACCCTAATTCCAAGGAGCTGAAAATGCAGTAGTATTAACCATTTAACCTCCTATTTGAGACTCATGATCCAGAACTCTCTATAATCTGTAAAAGCAAGAAATCAGTTGAAATAGTTATCCTTCCAGTGAACCGCAGCAATTGACAAGCCATGAGCTAACATGTCAGGAGGTGTCCCCAGTTCTTACTTCAGATCAGTATTCAAGCACCCATGAAGTCACTATGGTCATTAGAGCTAATGGTGTTTGCACTATAGCTCCTGATAATATGTCCTCCTATGTGCCCAAAACACTAAATGTGGGCAAAAGGGAAGGGAACTCATGAGCTAAGGAGTATTTTCCTGAACACAGCTCCTTCCCAGAACAGGAAAATTACTTAGTCTGGGATGTGCAATTGTCTGAGGATTTTGGACTTACTAAATTGCCTGCTAATAATAATTTTGTGAACATTTATTTTTATGTATTTATTTCTTTAACTACACCATAGATGTGTGAGAAACAGTAAAATCAGAAAAACAACTTGTTCAAGGTCACATGGCCAAGAGTTGCCAAACTTGATTTAAATTCAGGCTTTGATACTTCAACTTCAAAGTGCTTTCCTCAAAGTCGTAGTTAATGTCAAAAGAACTACCAAGTCAATAGTATTTTGAGATAAACTTTAAAGAAAGAAGAGCGTGAGATTAAAAAGAAAATAAAATCTGAGACTTAAAACTTTGAATCCAGGTTTATACTTTTGCATAGTTTTGGAGTTAATCATTTTATTTCATTCAGTTCTACAAACAGTAAGCAAATACTAAGTTCTTAGAGGTATAAAAGGCATATTGGGGAAGATATTATGTATAATAATAATGGAAAGACCCATAAGGCACAGAGAGAGTGCGCCATTTTGGTTAGGATTCTTATTAAAGGCCTTCAAGTATAGTTCTGGAAAAGGATGAAGAATTTTACTGGAAACTGGACAAAGCACATGGCAGTGGGAGAGAACTGAATGGACCATGGCCCGGTGGTGTGGAAGGCACATGGCAGTTTGGGTGGACAGGGACTTGTTCCTGGTGCCTGGCCCACAGGCCCCCTGGGGGAGATTGATAGAAGGCAGAGCTGTAAGGGTAAGTGGAGGGAGACCCTGGAGGGTCCCTACAGAAAATACTTTCCATACATTAAATAGTGTACTTATTGATTCATATGTAGAACTGAAATGCTACAAGGTGTGTCTGTGTGTTGGTTTTTTTATTGAAGATACTGGCTATATTTTAGAAAGAAGGCTTGTTAAGAAGGAAAACAACGATATTTATTATATAATAACAGTTTTGTTTATGGCCTTTGCATCTTTTAATGTTTGTTTTATGACTCCCTTTGCTGCAACTAACAAAGATTTTTAAAAATGTTTTTAAAATAACATTTCACTAGGAATGTTCCAAACGAGCCAATAACGGGAAATTTACTCTTCGCGATTTGCTTGTCGTCCCCATGCAGCGTGTTTTAAAGTATCACCTTCTCCTCCAGGTATAGAACTTAACACTGTTTTGTTTATTAATTTGTTCATTTATTCATTCAACAAACTATTAATGAACCATTAGTTATGTGCCAGATATTCCATGTTTGGGGCCCGATCCCCTTATGATTAGTATAGCTAAGTGAGTAACAGTCAGCTGGAAATCTTTTCTTACTTTGTAGCAAAGATGATTCTGTATGTTCCACGAAGTCACATTGTGTGTCCTTCAAACAGAACTGGCTCCAGAAAACCTAAAAAACAAGACAAAGGAAGTAAAAAAAAATCCCTTCAACCAAGTCTTCTGTAGTTAGCAGCAATCATTTATTAGATTCAGTGTTGCAATATACCTGAATTTTGCAGGTTAATTGTATTAGACCTTTTGCCTTATAACCATAAACTAAAGAGAATTGTGTCACATTCTGTGTTGCTTTCTGCGATAGTAAATTATAATAAGACTACATTTATTTTGAAATGATTCTTGTTATAACCCCAAAGCTTATGGTTTCCACGGTTAGTTCTCTAATGAGGGTGGAGAGTCTTATAAATTTAATTTGATAGCTATACCAGGAGACTCATTAGTTCTGCTCCAAAGAAATGTCTTACTGTATTAGTCTGTCAACTCTGCTGACGCTTGTGAAATGTCATTTAAAAAAGATCTACTACCTGTATGTGAAATATAATTTTGAGTCTGCTGTGCTTTGTACATCTTGTATATTAAATTTCTTGAACTGTAGCCACAAAATTATTAGTCATATCTATTTTTGTTCTACTGAGAAATCAGAAAAATCCAAACCCTGATTATTTCTTAAAAATGCATTAAAACATTTATGAGGCCTAAACTCAGAGCAACTTAATCAAATTGGATTTTATGAAAAAATAATAAGGAAGATGTAGGCCATCAGTTTCTGAGACATCATAGAACTAAAAACATGTCCAAAGTAAGATAATCATTTATTTTGTAACTTTGGTACACTCAAATATCAATTGAAAATTTTAGAAGGTGCAATTTTCAAGAAATATCTATTTTTGTCATTTAGAAGATTTTAGGCAGACTTATAAAAGTATAATATATGACTCTACCTTTATGAAATGCAGCACACTGTTTTTCTAATTCCTCTTGGGTTATTTTATATTTTAAACTCCAAAAGTACGTTTAGGTCCATGATGATTTTTTTTTAAAGGCACTGCATGTATATATTTTTTATTGTGGGAAAATATATATAACATAAAATGTACCATTTAACCATTTTAAGTGTACAGTTCAGTGGCAGTAAGTACATTTACATTATTGTGCAACCGTCATCGGTATCTATCTCCAGAGCTTTTTCTTCATTCCATACTGAAACTACGTGCCCAGGAAACACTAGCTCACTTTTCTCTTCTCGTCCTAGGCTCTGGTAACAAGCCTTGTACTCTCTCTGTGTGTGTGAATTTTACTATTCTAAATATCTCATATAAGTAGAATCATACAATATTTGCCTTTTTGTGTCTGGCTTATGTCTTCAAGATTTATTTATGTTGTTGCATGGCTTGGCATGTCTTTCCTTTTTAAGGCTGAATAATGTTCCATCATATGCATCTACCACATTTTGTGTATCCATTCACCCATCCATGTACATTTGGGTTGTTTCTACCTTTTGGCCATTGTGAATGTGCCCATTTTTTTTTTTTACTTATATAAATAAATTTTATGGAGAAAAGTGTAAACTTGAACAACTGAATTATAAGGAGTAAATACAAATCCAAGTTTAGTTAGATTAGTTGCATAGCTGATTTAGGTCAGTCTTCCTGCCCCATTTTTTTGTGGACAAAACTTCAAAGAAAGGTGAAAGCAATATTAATAACAGCTTATTTAGCAGATTTAGATAGAAATATTACTAATTAGCAATTTCTTGCCAATAAAGCAAGAGACGGAAAATGATGAGGAGTAGCATAAGTAGGACTATCTTGCCTCAGTGGTTTAAATGGGATCAGGTGTTTTTTTTTTTTAAAGATTTTTATTGGGGAATTGGGGGGATGGGAACAGCGCTGGGGAATTGGGGGAAGGGGAACAGCCAGGTTGAGCTGTTGTTCAGCATCTTAGCTGTGGAGGGCAGTGTCACTGGCCCTCATATGTGGGATCCGAACCGGGGCCCTCTGGCGTCCAAGCTAGCTCTTAACCATCGTGCCACTTGGCTGGCCCAATCAGGCGTTTTTTGAAACACAAAATCTTTGAGGTTGTAATGTGTCTGATCTATATGTTTACTTGAAGATCAGTGTTACACCTACAGATGGGCTGGCCAGAGGAGGGAAGAAAAGAGAATGCAAAGTAAAAAGTTCAAACAGTTTTAAAAATTATTTGCCAATAAGTTTAACACATCCATGTACTGTGAAATCCTAGAACCATTCTGATGAGCAGACAATGTGAAAACAGTGAAGCATGGGTGATAGGCCCTGTAAAACCAACAGAGTGCAACTTAAAAGGAAGGAAAAGGTTGTGGCAGAAATTTAACTCCGTTGAGGTAGATACTGGTTTTTAGGTGGAAGAGGCTGCCTTAGATACCTGGTATTATGCAACTAATGTGGAGTTTGAGGAAATATCAGTCCATTTTGCTATTATTTACACAGCCATATTGTCATAGAAAAAGAATACATTCTTTCCCATGGTGATTTTTTTAAAATAGGAAATATTTTATGTGGGGCATCACACATTGATAAAATTTCTAGAAATATTTTTTCCATCTTAAAATAGTGTAGAGTTTATTCATCTAATGTTTCGAAATTTATTGAATACATTTAGTATCAATTTGAACATTCCCTACTTACTACTATACTTTACTGAGGAAATCATTTTGAACTGCTGTATGATTTGAAATCTCAAATTATAAAATTAGAATATTTGATAGTGGGGGTTTGAAACTTTGAGAATAATTTACCATTATTTAATAAAGGAAAAGTAAAAATAGAAGTAAGAATATAACTTTGACAAGTTTATTATACTTAACAGATTTGATGTATGTAGATCCTCTTTACAACTAGAAACACTAGTAGTATTCAATTCAGCAAAGGTTTTGGAGAGCTCCCCTGTTCCACACACAGTATTAGTCACTCGTGATATAAAACAGCCTCCTTGCGCTGATAAAGCTCGTTGTTTAGGTGGGGAAAATGAAGTGTAAGCTGCTAAGTACAACACACTTTGGCAGGTATACAGATATACAAAGGTGGTTAAGGCCTCGTTAATTATGCCTAAGGAGAATGGGGACTTAAGTAGAGGCGTCTGGCATAGAAAGCTTCACAGAGGAGCGACTCTTGAATTGGGCTTTGAAGGACGAATAAGAGTTTGACAGGTGGAGCAGAGTGGAAAGGCTTTCTAAGGAGAGAAAACAGCATGGCTTATAGGACCAGATATTAGAATGTATTTTGAGAATTGCAGTTAATTTAGTATGGATAAAATCTATGTTGTGTGGCTGGAAGTGTAGAAGTTGGGAGACGTTTGCATAATTCAGATCATGATGGGTCAAAGAGGTATGGATGACAACCTGAGGATTTTGTGGGCATCACAGAAGTCTAAATAGGGTAGGGACAGGGTTTGATTTACATTTTAGAAACTGGACCTGAACCAAGGTAGTGGCAGTGAAGATGGTTTCCAGAGGAAGGATCAAAGTGAATATCACAGCGCAGGAAGAGGGGAGTCTGTTTGGCTTAAGTGCTTACACTGATCGAGTGCCATCCTTCAGTAAAACATAAATAGGAACAAAAGTAGGGTTGTGGGTGAAGATGTCCATGTTGGATTGGAGGGGCTTGTGAGATACCCAGGTAGAACTATTTAGTTGGACATAGGAGTCTGGGGCCCAGGCGCGAGTTCTGCCTTGAGCACATTCACTTGATTGTCTCATTAGGTGATAGCTGACATTAAAACATGATGGAATCTGTAGAGTATGTAAGAATAACAGGAGACTAAGGTGAAAATCCAGGGAACGATAACTTTGTGAAGTGCAGATAAAGTAGAAAAGACTGATGAAAGGCAGGAGTTTAAGGATAACAAACAATAACAGCAAACACACAGAAGATCCTACTGTCTGAGAAGCCAAAGGAGAGGGGCAGCCGTCAGACTCAGAAGCTTGAGAGAAGCCAAGTTTGATAATGAGTAAAAAGTGTCAGGTCAACTGTCAAGGAGGGGACCTTCCATGACGTTCAGGGACAGTATCGGTGTAATACTGGTGGGGCATAGAGTTCAGGTCCATGTTTGAAAGGGAAATGTTTCTAAACCATTGTCTCATGTTCTTTTGGTGTCTTTCTGGTGTTGTTTTAGTTGGTCTTCTTATCGTTTGAAATGTTTGATGAAAATAAAGCCTAGAGACATCAGACATATCACATTACGGTGCAAATAATGATAAAAAATGTTTATTAACAATTGTTTTTCCTTATGTTTTGGTGTTAATTTGATGAAAGTAGTACTAACCTGTATCTTCCAAATAGGAACTGGTCAAACACACCACCGATTCTATAGAGAAGGCAAATCTGAAACTGGCTCTCGATGCCATGAAGGTAAGCACACGTGTCATTGACTTGTTTGTGTTTTTTATTCTTGCCTAAAAACAATAGAATATGAACTGCTAATACATATTATAATATATGTATTTGTAATATATTATAATATATATAAATATTTGTATAGTTTTGTTTTTGGTGGGGAGAGCTGGACACTCGTATTTTTAACTGCAATAGAAACACGTGCATGGATTTAATTGTTAGACAAAACACGTAAAACCAAGAGGTGTATTAAAAAAATTTTTGTTATATTTATGAAAATATGTCAGCTTTTATAACCTCAAGGAATGAGTTCATATAAAGGCTTTCTTTGACTTTCTTTTTATGGTTACCAATAGAAAACTGTTGGCTTGTATAAGCATCAGGTCAGCTGGTGACTTGAGAACCCAGGTGTGACTTAATTCCTCAGGTGAGGGTATCTGCCAGGTTTACCTTTGTGGCTGCTGTGCATCAGTACACATGAGTTTCAGTGTGGGTATCTATTTTTAGGTAAATCTGAAAATCAAGAACTACAAGTAGATAAAGGCAGACTTTTCGAATATTTTGGGGTTTCTGTAAAACCCCCATTTCCACATTATGCTGGACTTTGAAAGAAATAAATTTTTGCCCTTGACTTAAAACCTAAGTAAATATGTTTTATTAACTCTTTAAAATGGGACTGGCTTCCTTGACTGAATGCTCTCAGGAACTAAGACACTAACTAGTTGCAGAAAATAGTCCTGCTAGATTCATTGTCTAACTTTTAGTGACCTTTTTCTCCCTGCCAAGCCTGCCTTATGGCCCTTACGCTAACCCGTGTGAAATGTAATTCTCCCAGGGTCAGTTATTAACGTGTTTGGAATTTACGTTCTTGTTGGCAATTTTTGTTTGTTTTTGTTTTTCTATCCTCTTTTCCGGGGTGCAGTAAATGACATCTCTTCAGCCTTCCCAGCTGTACTCCCGATGTTTCTAACTCCCTTTTGAGATGCCGCTTTGATTGATAGGGTGTTCATTTTATTGTCATCGAAAAGTTATGGTATCCGTTTGCTGCTAATGAAATTAATGATGTGTTTTCTTTCAAACACTTCTCGTGGCTTCTCTAATCTTATCATGTCATCTTCTTTTTGTCCCCATTTCTTTATTCTTTAGGACTTGGCACAATATGTGAATGAAGTGAAGAGAGATAATGAGACCCTTCGTGAAATTAAACAGTTTCAGCTATCGATAGAAAATTTGGTATGTAATTATCATTCCATCCAGCTTCCCTACCCCACATATTGGGGGACATTCTAGGAGTTGTTTTTGAAGAAAAACTACTTTACCTTCGAGTTTCTGCTCTTGGTTTTTTTAAGGTTCCTGTCTGGCAGCGTCCACATGAGTGTCTCGTGGCACCTGTGACATGTCATTGTCCAGGGACTTGCTGCCATCACTTGTCCCTCTTACCTTAATCACACTGTGCCTCTTTCCCTAGCAGCCTGAGTTTTAAAGATTAGAGTCCATTTTTTATCTTTTTCTCACCCTCGTACATACTCATGAATAATTCCTGTTAATTTATTCATTTGAATGTATATTTACTGGGTGCCTACTGTGTGCCAGACCTTTTGCTTGGGGCTGGGGCTATAACTGAACAACATGGCCTCCTAAGCAAAGGAGACAGTAAAAAAGGTTTTAAAGTATTATGCTATCTTGGTGACCTAATAACACTATCTTCACATTAGTTCTGTGAACAGGGTGCTGCAACAGGATAATTAGGGGAGTGCTAGTGTAGATAAGATGGTTAGACAAGTCCTTTGGAGTCATTTGCCCCTTGAACTTGAGGAATAAGAGGAAGCAGTGGCACAGGGATCTGGGGTGGGTGGAGAGGACTCCAGGCAGAAGCCAGAGGATGTGAAACACCCAGAGATGAGCTAGAGCTTGGGAAGGTCAAGAAGCTGAGAGGTAAGAGTGGCTGGAACCTGAAGGCGAAAGGAAGAATGGCGGAGGTTGGCAGGGGAACCACACGCCACAGCCTTGTAGGTCACTGAGCTGAGGTGGGGTTTTATTGTGATTGCTGTGGGAAACTAGTGAACAGTTTTTATCAGTTTTGCAGTCATTTACATTTCAAAAAAACCAAAAACCCTTTTAGCGGCAGATCAGTCAGTCAATAAGTTGTTGAGGTGATTTCAATAGAGAGGTGATGGAAGCCTGGATTAAGCTGTGGGCAGTGAAAACAGAGATAAAGGAACAGATTTAAGATGCTTTTCTTGGTAGACAGGTTTATTGCTGCTGTCTCTGAAACATCTTGAGCTGGTCTCTTTCTTTTCACATGTACAGCCACTCCTCCACTTCAGGACCTCATCGGCCACCTTTCCAATCACAGTAGCCTTTAATCACCTCTTCGCATAGTTGCATTTCAAAATGTGGATTTCTCAGTTCACTCTCCCAAACTCGTCAAAATTCTCTGTTGCTTTCAGGATTCGAACAATAGTCCTTAACATGGGTTATAAGGCCCTCAGTGATAACACTATTTTCTTGAACTTATCCAGCTAATAACTGCCCACATACTTTGCATTGCAGCTATCCTGCTGTGTTTCCAAACATTTTTATGATTCTGCCGTTGATCGTAATATTGTCAGAGCCTAGAATATCTTTTCCCATTATTTCCTGTCAAATTCCTTCAAGGTCCAACAAAAATAAATCTTTTCCCTAATCTCCCATGATCCTTTTCTCCTTGTCATTCCACAGCACGTTGCCTGGACAGCTGTTTAGCATTTATTTTTTATTGTGGTACAATGTACATAGCAGTAAATTTACCACTTTTAAGTGTACAGTTTTGTGACATTAACTGCATTCACATTGTCTAGCCGTCACCACCATCCATCTCCAGAAGTCTTTTCATCTTGGAAAACTGAAGCTCTGTACCTAGCTAACACTAACTAACTCTCTATTCTCCGCGCCTCCCAGGCCCCGGCCATCAACATTCTGCTTTCTGTCTTTATGGATATGACTATTCTAGGTACCTCCTAGAAGTGGAATCACACGATATATGTGACTGCCTTATTTCCCATAGCGTAATGTCTTCAAGGTTCACCTATGTTGTAGCAGGTGTCAGAATTTCCTTTTTCTCTTAAGATTTATTTGTTAAGACTGAGGAATGTAGCATGGATTATATATCTCCACATTTTGTGTATTCATTCCTCTGCCTGTGGGCACTTCCCCCTTTCGGCTCTTGTGAATAATGCTGCTATGAATCTGGGGTACGAATATCTGTTTGAGACCCTGCTTTCTGTTCTTTTGGTTATATACCCAGAAGTGGAATTGTGTAGTAATTCTAGTCTTAATTTTTTGAGGAAGAACCAGAACAAGAGCTTTTTGTTTTTAACAGTAGCTGCACCAATTTACATTCCTGCCAGCGCTACACAGGAGTGTCTTCTCATTTTCAACAACACTTTTTCTTTCCTTTTTCTTTTTTTGGTCATATCCATCCAAATGGGTGTGAGGTGGTATCTCATTGTGGTTTTGATTTTGCGTTTCCCTAATGATTAGTGATACTGAGCATCTTTTCATGCACTTATTGGCCATTTGTATATCTTCCCATCTTTGTTCAAGTCCTTTGCCTATTTTTGAATCAAGGCTGTTTGTCTCTGTGTTGTTGTTATAGGAGTTCTTTATCGTATATCCTACTACATAGTGATAAGAATATTAACCCTTATCACACTTTTTGTTTGCAAGGATTTTCTCCTACTCTGGGTTGCCTTTTCACTTTGTTGCCAGTGTCCTTTGATGAACAAAATTTTTACTTTTGTTGAGGTCCAACTTATCAATCTTTTTGTTTGTTGCCTGTGCTTTTGGTGTCATATCCAAGAAATCATTGCTAAATCCAATGTCATAAACCTTTTCCCCTATGTTTTTTTTTCTCAGAAATTTTTATTTTTTGCTTTTTGATCCATTTTGAGTTAATACATTGTAAGGTAAGGATCCAACTTCACTCTTTTGCCTGTACATATCCAGTTTCCCCAGCACCACTGTTGAAAAGGTTGTCCTATCCCCATTGAATAGTCTTGGCACCCTTGTCAAATCATTTGACCATGTGCCATATATGAAGGATGCCAAAAAGCTGTATACACATTTTAAGAAAGGGAGAAACTATTAAAATTGTAATACAATAAATGATGCTAGCATTCATTTGATTAACGCCATCTTTTGAGCGAATGTCATACTACACATTGCTACCGTAATTTGATTCGACTTCAAAAAGTAATCCATAGATAACATCTCTTAAAATGTATACATTTTTTTGGCATCGCCCGCCGGTATGTGAGGACTTATTTCCAGGTGTTCTGTTCCATTCCATTGGTGTAGAAATCTATGTTTATGTCAGTAACACACTGTTTTGATTACAATAGTTTTGTAATAAGTTTTGAAATCGGGATGTGTGGACCCCCAACTGTGTTCTTTTTTGAGATTGTTTTGTCTATTAAGGGTCCCTCAAGATTCCATATGAATTTTACAATGGAGTTTTCTATTTCTGCAAAAAAAAAAAATCATTGGGATTTTGATAGGGAACATTTATTTTTATACTTGCTTGTAGCACAGCTAATTAATTACAGTCCTGTCTCCTTTATTAGAATGTAATTGCCTAGATGTTAGTGCTAATTTTCAGTCAATTCTTTTCTCTCTTAGCCCCTTGTCCTAAACAGTTAAAAATTTTTATTGTCTGCCTCTGGGGAAGTGGCTCATTATTTTTAATCATTAAGTCAGAACTTTTCATTCTTGAGATCTTAGATCGGGGATGTCATCCTTGACTCCCTACACCAAATTAGGTCCCTCGGCTATGCATGGTTCCTGTACTCTTCTTTCATGGCAATTGCACATTTGTAATTATATACTTATATGAATATTTTTCTCCCCACTGGGCAGTATATTCAATGAGGGCAGGGTCTATATCATTTTCCCCTCTTGTAGTGGCTGGCACACAGTGGATGCTCAATAAATATTAGTTGCTGTAACTTCCTTGTGATTAGAATTTTTCCAATTCTCTATTTTGGTAGCTAACTTTCCCATTAAGGTTATAAGTAAAATTAATTAATGTCTCAATATATCTCCTGGGATGACCAAGGACAGACTGTTTTTGAAAGTGTATCCTATAGATCTGAGCTTTTTAGAGTACGTGTGCTAAAAAATGTAAAATGATAAAATTGGTAATGCAATAAGATAGCTGTCTTTAGCAAATGTCCTCTCTAATATTTATTTCTGTTTTTGGGTGATTATGAAAAACTGAGACATATAAATTTTATATTTTAGAACCAACCAGTTTTGCTTTATGGACGACCTCAGGGAGATGGTGAAATTCGAATAACTACTTTAGACAAGCATACAAAACAAGAAAGGTGAGAAAAGAGCAGTAGTACTTATTTTCATAATAAGTAATTAGTATCCGAAGATTGAGAAAACCTTAAAAACAATTTCTCCAGGACAAAGGAGGGAAACAGAAAGAAAAACAAGGGGACAAATCAATATACGTTTTTCTAAAAATTTCTCATATAGCTATGTTCCATGTTCCCCTCTCTGTTCTGGTATGTGTTGATTTGTCTATTTTAAGTTCTGAAGAAGGAAATGGCAAATATAGAGTGTCAGCTAGGGTAAAAAAATACACATTAAAATGACAATAGGGCTAAAGTAATGATGGATAACTACTGTAAAAACACAAATGTTTGATTTCTTTAGTATACGTGTTAAAATAACTAAAAATAATACAAATGTCCAAAGAAAGAAATGTATGTGTGGACCATTTAGTGAGATTTTCTTGAGGGAAATTTGTAGGTGGGGTCCTTGAAGATTAAGTGTGGTCTCATGTCCCTAATTATATGTGTTTATATTATATGCAGTTGTCATTGGGTTGAAATGGCAAATTTCTGGAACATTTAGAAATGAGAGAGTCAGCCAGCAGGGGGCAGCAGCAGCTCTTGCGTCCCGCTTCATAAGCTTCATACCCGGGCTCTACAGGTAGCTCCCAAGAGATGAATCTTCTTTCAGCCTTTCCAGGAAAATAGGCTTTGGAAGTGATGCAGGTGTTAGAGCTATGTGAATGTATTATTTTCATTGTTTAAAAATTGTGTACGTGTTTATCACCAAGAGTTTTCAAAAAGATACAACTATTGGTATTGGATGATGAGATTATAAGGTTTATTTCTCCCAATTACATCGTTTTCAATAATAAGAAAGAAGAGAAATAGCAACATGTAAATTTAACCATAATTTTCCTAGTTTTCATTCTGCTCATATACCACTCAGGTTGTGTCTTAGGTGGTCCTTTAAATCACAAGGAGCGCCACAGGAGGTGAAAGTGCGGGTTCTACAGTTAGACCTGGTGGGAATCCTACTCCGCACCTCACTAGCAGTGTAACCTTGAGCAGATTACCCAAGTTCTCTAAGCCTCAGCTTCCTCCCCAGTCTAATGAAGATGGTACAATACCTACCTCAGCAAGTGGTCCTGGGGATTTAAGTTAAGTGAGTCATCTTTATGGGATGGACACCCCTCAAGGTATTCTGACTAACTCCTAGCAACAGCAATACAAGTTAACTGCTATTGTTTTCATTAATATTATGCTGTAAATGTTTAGCTTCTAAATTAAAAAAAAACTTTCTTATGATCAATACTTCATGCCTTATATTAATTGTTCCTTAAGCAACTCTACAGCATGCATATCGTTCCTATTAGAATTTTGCCTGGTTTTTAAATGAGGAGACTGACGTCCAGTGAGGCCATTCGTTTAGTAAAGGGTAGTGCCGGGATATACACATTTCACTGCCTTTGTCTTCAATTCAAAGGAAAAATGTTTGGTTGGTTTAATTAAGTTTTACCAGGGAAGAACATACTTCCAAACCATTTGAAATCAATCATTCTCTCTCTTTCTCTTTCTCTCTCTCTCTCAGGCATATCTTCTTATTTGATTTGGCCGTGATCGTATGTAAAAGGAAAGGTGATAACTATGAAATGAAGGAAATAATAGATCTTCAGCAGTACAAAATAGCCAACAACCCTACAACTGATAAAGAAAATAAAAAGGTGAATTCTTCGACATTTGTAACTGTGATTTTTTCCTAACTTTGAAAATTTAAGGAAAGTGTTGCTAATCCATGAATGTGAGAGGTAGCTTATTGATTCAGGGGTTTTTGTTTCTAGAAATTGATTAGGAGCAAACCTCTGCGGGAAACAATTGGACAATGTCACAGATATGATCATCTCTAACGCCTTAATGATCAAGATAGTAATAGGCATTTGGCACAGAAATTGTTGTAGATATGATATAGATTTTAGTAATCTTGACTGTTCACAGTTTGTATGCTGATAATGTTACAAGAGGCTTGTGGGGGATTATGGTGGTGTTTCAGTGAATTTGGAAACATGATGTTATTAGTGAGTGATACATATTAACCTGAGCAATATTAATTTTAACAGTGGTCTTATGGCTTCTACCTCATCCATACCCAAGGACAAAATGGGTTAGAATTTTATTGCAAAACGAAAGATTTAAAGAAAAAATGGCTGGAACAGTTTGAAATGGCTTTGTGAGTATTTCTACTTTTAAAAGTGCTTTTTATCTACTACTTAAACCTCTTATGAATAATGAACTACCGATAAATGTACTCTGATGCTTGTAGCATGTGTACAGAAGCTGTGGAAATACTTTGCAAGCGCAGGAGGGCTGGTAGGCTTTCTGCCTAACTCTCCTAGGAGAGAGGTTTTGGTGAATTTCTTCAAGAAAAAGAAAGAGGGAGCTCTAACCTTCTGTTTGACTTTCTTCTTATGGGCGTATTTTAATTCTTTAGCTTTCAGCAGCCCATGAAAATACAGAGGGTGCCAAAAGAAGTATATGCATTTTAAGAAAGGAAAAAGCTGTATTAACCGATAACAAAAGATGAATACAAGTCACGTTTGACTTTTGCAATTACAAGAGGTGCTCAAAGTGGTTACCATCTGCCTCCAGACACTTCTGATTACGGCGAACTACTGCTTGAGCAACATTGACCAAAGTGTTCACATCTCTTAAAATGTGTATACACTTTTATAGCACCCCCGGTATTAATTATTCTAATGATTAATTTTAAATGTATTTACCGTGTTTTACATGTATCTTTAAATTAAATAGAAATATCCCCCAAACACATAAACGTATCTATATACATGCACATACCTTATTTTTAATAGAAAGTTTGATTCTTCCTCCTGTTTGTTTGTAACTCATTTAATGTTTGAATCCTGGATAAATTGCATGACGTATTCAATGAATGCTTTAAGTGCTTGATTTCTTTCAGTGTCCTTTCCTTTTGTTCAGGTGGAAGCTTAACAAAGGGATGGGAAATAATTCAGACCAGTTTCAAAAGAAATGGCATAAAGAGATGTAATTACACAAGAACATGCCATTATTGGGGTTACTTTTTAGTTTTCATGTTTATGGATTAAAAGGTGCATAATGACTCTGGTTATAGAAACATTTGGTCACCCTGAAATTGAACCTGTTAACAGAAGGTGGAATTAAGAAAAAATGCTTTTGTGATTTGCTCCATTTGTATTCTGGCGTTATTTATTTATCATTTGCAGACAATTTCTATCAGGTCTTTTTTCTTTTGCTTTGTTTTAAGACTGCTCACGGTGGTATAAAGTGGAAGAAGGATTGGATTGTTTAATTGTAGTTCTGCAGTGAAAAAAATAGAGATTTTCTTATTATTTAATATTTTGAGAGATAGGTTTGTATAGATAAGAAATTTTTCAGATTATAGGCAGTTCTAGATTCAGTGATAATCATTGCCATGAGCTGGTTGCATAGTTTATCCAAGTTATCTAACCTCTCAGAGCCTCAGTTTACTCCTCTGTAAAATAGGGATAATAATATTTTGATTTCCAGATAATATGTATCAGGCAGAGTGCTAGCCAAATACTAAAACAGTAGTCATATGGTATTAAACAATAGTGATATCTACTATTACCGCTATTATAATATTGTTTTGTATTTAGGATCCTAGTACTACACCTGTGGGGACTTATAAAAGTGGAGGTAATCTTCCAGTATACTATTATAGTTCTTGCAATCTATTGTTATTGATTACAGTAACTAAACAAAAGGAGTTAGTAGTTGTGTGCATTAATACAAAGGCTCTATCTACTACAGGGGCCCCTTTGGTTTTGCACACAAGTGATGAAGTTGGTGACCTCCACCCAGTGGGCTACATCATAAACCTAGCGTGCTATTTTAGTGAGGTTTCAACTGATAGACAGCACTTGGAGTTGAGCAGTTAGAATTGGAGTGACAGGTTGCTGGGGTTGGTGATGATATGCAAAGGCAGAGCAGATCTTAAGCCTTTGCTCTTGTGGGGAAAATGCTAGGCTAGTATTTTCTTATGGCTTCTGTTTAACTATATAATCACTAGGTAGGGAAGGCATTTCTGCAGAGGAGGGACGTTACATTTCTTGTCCAGAGCAAACATAAGGATGTGGACTGCATGGTAGGCGTATCAGCTAATACTGTGTTCAGTTGCCATAAATCAGGCAGCTGAATTCTGGATATAAGACCCGACAAGACGGATGGTTATACCTCTCTCATGTAAAAGAATCTGGGGTAGGTAGACAAGGGGTGGTATGATGGCTCTCTGGGGTGTCATCAGAGACCCAGGCTCAGATCTTCCTTCAGTGCCATTATCAACATTTGGCTTCTGTCCTAAAGGTTGGTCACCTTGTTGTCCAAGATGGTGACTGGAGTTCCAACTATAGAACCTTACGTTCTAGGCAGCAGAAGGCGATCCCTCGCTTTTCAGGATCCTTTGCAGAAATGACACAGACTTCTGTTACATACATAATACTGACCAGAGCTTAGTCATGTGGCCACATCTGACAAGGGAGCCTAGGAAATATAATCTTTATTCCAGGCAGGATTGTGCCTTGCGAAGAATCGAGGTTCTCTTCCTATGGAAGAGATGAGAAATGGGTAATTGTAGGCCATTGTCAGTCCTTGCCTTATGGGTATGCACATATAGGAGTACGGATAGATTCAGATTGTTACACCACAAAACAGGGTAGAGAGCCCAGAAATAAACCTACACCTATACGGTCATTTAATCTGTGACAAAGGAGGCAAGAATTTACAACAGGGTAAAGACAGTCTATTCAATAAATGGTGTTGGGAAAACTGGACAGATACATGCAAAAAGATGAAACTAGACCACTTTCTTATGCCACATACACTCAAACTCAAAATGGATTAAAGACTTAAAGGGAAGACCCCAAACCATAAAACTCCAAGAAGAAAATGTAGGCAGTAAATTTTCTGACATTGCTCTTAGTAATATTTTTTTCCGATATATCTCTTTGGTAAGGGAAATAAAAGAAAAAAAAAAGGGCTGGCTGAGTGGCGCGTTGGTTAAGAGTTGGCTTGGGACGCCAGCTCTGAGCAGCAGGGCCCCATTTCAGATCCCACATGAGGGTCAGAGACACTGCACCCTCTACAGCTAGGATGGTGAACAACAGCTCGACCTGGAGCTGGGCTGCTTTGAGTCTCTGGCAACGGTGTAGGCTGCAGCCCCTGCTGCAGTGGGCTGCTATAAGCTACCGTGTGTGGCTGGCAGCCAGCGTGAGCAGTCGGCAGCTGTGGTGAGCTGCCAAGAGCCACTGTGTGCGGCCGTCCAGAGGCCGGCAACCAATCTGCCTCACCTGGAAAGAGTGCAATAATGATACCAACATGGGCCAGTGAAGCAATGTCCTCCACAACTAGACTGAAGAACAAAACGACAGCAACTTGTCTGTTCCCCTCCCCCAATTCCCCAATAAAGATCTTTAAAAAAAAATAAATAAATGGGACTACATCAAATGAAAGAGTTTTTGCAAAGCAAAGGAAACCATCAACAAAATGAAAAGACAACCTACTTAATGGGAGAAGATATTCACCAATGATACCTCCAATAAGGGGTTAATATCCAAAATTTATAAAGACTCAACACCAAAATAACAAACAATCCAATTAAAAAATGGGCAGAGGAGCTGAATAGATGTTTCTCCAAAGAGGACATACAGATGGCTAATAGATATGTGAAAAGATGCTCAAGATCACTATTATCAGAGAAGTGAAAACTAAAACCATTGGGTTGTTTGAAAAGTCATGATGTACTTTTTCTTTTTTTCATTGCAAAAATGCATCATGACTTTTCTGACAACCCAATAGTAAGAGATATCACCTCACCCCTGTCAGAATGGCTGTCATCAATACAAAATCCACAAACAACAAATGTTGACGAGGATGTAGAGAAAAGGGAACCCTCGTGCATTGTTGGTGAGATTGTAAATTGGTGTAGCCACTATGGAAAACAGTATGGAGGTTCCTCAAAATATCAAAAATAGAACTACTTTTTGACCCAGCAATTCCATTTCTGGGTACTCATCTGAAGAAATCCAAAACACTAATTCAAAAAGATATATGCACCCCTATTTTCATTGAAGCATTATTTATAATAGCTAAGATGTGGAAGCAACCTAAGTGCCCATCAATAGACAATTGGATAAAGAAAAAGTGATATATATATATATATATATATATATGAATATTACTTGGCCATAAAAAAGAATGAAATCTTATACCATTTGCGACAACATAGATGGACCCAGAGGGTATTATGTTAAGTGAAATAAGTCAGACAGAGAAAGACAAATATATAATCTCACTTATATGTGGAATCTAAAGAACAAAATAAACAAAACAGAAACAGGCTCATAGATACAGAGAACAAACTCATGGTTGCCAGGTGGGAGGGGGGTTAGAGGACTGGGTGAAAAAGGTAAAGCGATTAAGAGATACAAATTGGTAGTTACAAAATAGTCACGGGGATGTAAAGCACAGCATAGGGAATGTAGTCAATAATATTGTAATAACTATGTGTAGTGCCAGGTGAGTACTATTAGAATAACTGGGGGATCACTTTGTAAATTATATAAATGTGTAGCCACTCTGTCGTACACCTGAAACTAATATAATGCTGAATGTCAACTGTAATTGAAAAAAAAAATAAATACATTATTCCACCACAAGAAAGATGGCTGTACCACACATAGGGAAACTGGGATTCATAGTCTGTGAGCGGACTACCCATGCAGGTGGTGGGAGGGTGGAAGTACCTCTTTTTCTGAGAACCACTCAGAGGTGAAGTTGAGGGCTCCTATATGCAGGATTATGCCATGTACGGCAAAATAAAATCATTCAGAATTTTATTCAAGCATCAGAATATTTTGTTATTTTATTTCCTCCCCTCTTTTTTGAAGCTCAGTGTGCAGGGAAGCCCTGCTTCCAGCTTAGTAAGAGCGCGCTTGCTTGCCTGTGCTCAGGAAAATAGAATCATTTAGGTAAGTCTTAAAGCTTAAGACTTTGCCTATGGTTGAAATTTTTCCATTTTAATCCATTATCTAAAGTCTTATTCTATAAGCCGTGTAGAATAAAAGAAAACTAAGAAATCCTGCATCATTCATGACAGCACATGACAAACAGTAAGCCCTGTGTATGTTCCACAGGCTGGCGTCCCGTAAGTGT